ATGTCATGGGCTTACTTTGTTTTATTATATATATATATATATATATATATATATTATATATATATATATATATATATATATATTTATATATATATATATATATATATATTATATATATATATATATATATATATATATATATTATATATATATATTATATATATATATGTATTTATTTGTACTTATATGTATATATCTATATAGATATAGATATAGATATATACATATACATATAAGTACATATATGTTTATATGTATATATATAGAAGGATAGATAGACAGAGATAGATAGATTAGATAGATTAGATAGATAGATAGATATAGTAGATAGATAGATAGATAGATAAGATAGATAGATAGATAGATAGATAGATAGATATAATACTATCACATATCAGTATATATATATAATGTATATATCATATTGATATATATATATATGTATAGATAAATAGATAGATAGATAAATAGATAGGTAGATAGATAGATAGATATTTATACAAACATGCACATCTAGCCCCCCCCCCCCTCTCTCTCTCTCTCTCTCTCTCTCTCTCTCTCTCTCTCTCTCTCTCTCTCTCTCTCTCTCTCTCTCTCTCTCTCTCTCTCTCTTCTCTCTCTCTCTCTCTCTCTCTCTTCTCTCTCTCTCTCTCTCTCTCTCTCTCTCTCTCTCCTCTCTCTCTCTCTCTCTCTCTCTCTCTCTTCTCTCTCTCTCTCTCTCTCTAAATGCGAAATTTGTTATGTCCTATGTTACTTGTTATTCATGTTTATTTCTTTTTCTATTCTATGCAGGTGGGCCAAATCAACATCAGATAAGACCAACCAGCATGGCAGCCCACGCTTACCTGCTCCTCACCCAAACCAGAACAGACAGCGATTCAATAGGCACGGATGCCTCCCTCTGATGCCAGAAGGGCCTCGTGCTCACCACAGCCATCAGCCTCCTTTCCGTAGACAGTCTCCTCCACCTCTTGATCGACATCATCATCGGCCAGATGCTCATCATCAACCCAGTCCAATCAGGACACCACCTCCCTTATTTAGTGAACCACCACCCCTACACAATGTGGATTCGGGTTTCCAGCAAGATGGAATAAGACCACCCTATTATGGCCCACACAGTAATTCAGGGCAGCAGCCTATGCATCCTGTCCTGCCACAAGAGATGCAACCTCACCACCATGGCCCTCCTCCACAGCGGCACATCCCACCCCCACATCCTCCACCACCCATTCACAACCAGCCACCACCCCACATGCAGCACCCACCACCTTCTCACCCTCCACCTCCTCAGCATCATCCTCCTCCACACCAGCCACCCTCTGACATGCAGCACATACCTGGACGACCTAGCATGCCTCCTCCCCACCATCATGGACCTCCACATCTACAGGGTCCACCTCATAGACCCTCACATCCACCCAACCATGGCCCACCTCATGCACATCCCCCGGATCTGAACCAAGGCCGCCAGTCTCCCAGAGGCCACCGTGACCAGTACCACCATCAGAGTGATTCCTTCCCACCACGAGGGCCTCCTCATTACCTGCTCACACGAATCAGTGGGAGGACAACGAGACTACACGGGAAAGCCATCGGTTTACAGAGCCTCCTCCATCTTGGGAGGAACCCCATGCCATGTTGTATGACTATAATGAATATTAATGAAGTTCTATAATGAGCCTAGAGTGGACCCCTATGAAAGGGATGATTACTATCACAAAAACCAGTATCAGAGGAGCCCCCTTACCAAGGACTCCTATTATGATCAACCTTACTCTGAGCCACCACCAAAGTATGAAGAAGAATACCAGCGCCCTCGAGTCAGGGAGGAGTACCCCCAAGAGCCATACCCAGAGGAATCATACCAAGGATATGACCAGCCTGAACAGCAGGAGAATTATAGGCCAGCTGCCAGGAGTAGGGATGTTAGAAGTCGGCTTGGAGGAAGAGTCACAGTCGGCCAAAATCCACATCATCTACAGAGTGAATTGATGAGACAAGAATATTTCAAATATAAATCTTTTCAGAATATTTGTTGCATTTATTATCATTGTCGTCATTGTTATTATTATATTATATTATTATTATTATTATTATTATTATTATTATTATTATTGTTATTATTATTATTCATTGTTTTTAGTGTTATTGTTAATTATTATTGTCATTGATTGATGATATGAATAATAATAATAGTAATACTAATGATGATTATAATAATGGTAACAGTAATGATGTTTTATTATTAGTGTTATTAATGTTGCTGTTATTATTATTATTATTATTATTGTTATTATTATTATTATTTATTATTATTATTATATTATATTATTATTATTATATTATTTATTATTATTATTTTAATTTTATTATTATTTATTATTATTATTATTATTATTATATTATTATTATTATTATTTTTATTATTATAATTATTATTATTGTTATTATCCTTATTGTTCTTTTCTTGTTTCTTGTTATTGTTATTATTATGTTTGTTGTTATTGTTATTATTGCTGTTATTATTTTTTTAGTTTTATTAGTATTAGTATTAGCATTAGCATTATTGTTATTATTTTCCTAATTTTATTACTATTTTTATTATTGTTATTGTTATAATCATAATCATTATCATTATTATTAATGTAGTATTGATATTATTATTGTTATTATTAATGTTATTTTTTCCATTATTAATGTTATTATTATTGTTATTGTTATATTGTTATTATTTTTGTTATTATTATTATTATTATTATTATTATTATTATTATTATTATTATTATTATTATTATCATTGTTGTTGTTATTGTTGTTTTTGTCATCATCATCATCATTGTTACAGTACCTTTGGTTATTGATATCATTATTACCTTTCTTATTACTACTACTATTATTATTATTATACTTAATTACTTCTAATTACTACTACTATTGCTATTACTACTATTATTATATATTATTATTGTACATATATTATTTTCAGGTTAAAGTTGTCCAGAATCTCTCAGAAGAAGCTGAGTCTCCACCAGCACAACCTCAAATTGGACAGAAAATACAAACTGTGGCAACGGCAGCAACCAGCACGCTCACGTAATACAAAAGGATTACAAGGAAGAACATGAAAGGAGAAGTTATTTCAGTAAAAAAGGTTAGTTTTTACCATGTTTAGAGTATTTTGCTATAGTTGTATATGAATGTGTGTCTTCTCTCTGTGTCTCTCCTCTCCTCTCTCGGTGACTATTTTCCTCAATTTTTTTCAGA